ACAGCCGTGCAGGCGGGGGTGCCAATCGCGCCTTCCGCCTGGGGCGCCACCTGCCGCAGCCCGCCGTACAATATTTTCAGGGTTCAACAGATGAAAACTGAAAAAAAAAACCCTTATTCCCTTTGTTATAGCCTTAGAGCCCAAGAAACCTTCAAAATAAAAATGAAGAAAAAAGAAAATCTATTAGAAAACTGAGGAAAGGATGATTTCCAAACAAGAAACCATACTATGCCTCATCTTATTTCACTATTGTGTTAAGGCCTACATGCCGAAACAATGACAAATACCAGTAAAATACTGCACATCTCACATTATCACCATATCTCAGGGGATAAGAGGACAGGGAGAGAAACTGTACTGTTTGCGAGTCATGTCTTCCCTGGGTTTAGAGATCTTTATTAGTCAGACCATAACTTGTGGAAGAACATTATTTACCTAGTTAGTTATTCAACACTAATAATAATTCCCGGTAGCTGAATCAGAAGGTTAAGTTCTGTTGTCATTCATACTCTGGCAAACAAAGAGGTTTCATCCTAATATCTGCTTACTAAAAAATGTGACAAGCAGAATGAAAAGTGTGGTACAATTAGCGTCAGGGGGTTATTTGTCCAGAAGAGGGGTATGAGTAGGAACATATCTACAGGATGTGTAATTTCTGGAGATTATGAGCAGCAAGTCAGGTGTCATGACAGATGATCTAGAAAGACAGTTAAGGATCTTTTCTTTGACATTACTAATCAGCTAAGTCTTTACTAAACAAGGCTACTTTATTGCCTTAAGTGTAAGTAATAGCACTGATAGACATAGAAAATCATGAAAACACATAGCTACCCAACATATGCCCCAATTTTAATTGTTTTTACATAGATGACAGTCAAATAGATTCTTTTAAGAAAAGGTAACAAAAATATCTGACAAGAAATAAACCTTTTCAAGAGGCACAAAGGAAAATGTACATGGCATCAGAGGTAATAGTGTAGGTCAATAGGGCTAGAAATGTAAAAGTGGAGTAAGTCCCAAGAGCTTTTCAATGTTTTCTTGACAAGGAAAGGTTCTCAGGGGTTACATGGGAAACAGGAATATTTAAAAAGCAGAAAATCATAATAATGATGTATTGGAAAGATAAGAAAAAATGGTTTAACCACCAAGAACAGATCTGGTTTGAATATCTCCAGTTTTGCCTTCAATGACTACCTAAACCGAACACTGAAATGCGAGGGTGTCAAGCCACACAAGTCGTCTTCAAAGTATTCAGTTTAATCAGACAAGGAGTTTAAAGCAAGTCATCAGCATCTCGTTCTTTGTATTAGCCTCTGTCATAAGGCAAGAGCAGTGTAATCAGTAAAAGTGAACAAAAAGTGATGGTTTAGTTCAACTTATTTGTTACAGTCACTGCTCTTGCACGAAGTGATTTTTATGACCATTAAGCTTCCAGAAGAGCAGAAGTCAAAGCTATGATATCAAAGCATCATTTTGGCAGCAGAACTGTACTGAACCTCTCTCCTGCATTATAGGGCAATGGATTTCAAAATAGGGGTTGCAACCCAGTATTGGGTCGTGGAATACCGGGCACTGGGTGATTGGGTGACTAGCGAGGGTTGTTAAGGCAGCTTCCTGCTTGTTCTGGCACTAGGGGCCACACTGCACTTCAGAAGCGGGCAACAGCAGTCCAGCCCCTAGCCACGGGGTCATAGGGCTCGACGCACTGCCCTCCCTCTGAGCACCAGCTCTATACTCCCATTGGCTGGTTCTAGCTGCTTTAAGAGCAAATGCTACATTACAATCTATACTGAAGTACACTTCTAGACAGACAAGCACACTCATCAAGGGAATAGCCCTGCATTATTTTCCGTTTCCTGCTTTGACATTAGTGCATCATATTGGTCACAAAACTGAGATGGGTAATGGGCTATTGCTGTCATAGTCAATGTCTGCCCTTCGCTTATAACTTGCACGGATCTCTTTTGTCAATTCCCAGAAGTTTGATGATTATTATCAAAACTCAGAGGTCCAGAGGGGAGAGTAAGATGCCTAAATACCTTTGAGAACCTGGCCATAGCAGATACGTATATATGCAGGACAACATTTCAGCAGAGAACAAAAGGTCTTATTGACTGGACATAGTGGTAAATATATTGCAGAATTAAAAAATGGGGGGGGGAGGGGAGTTCTAATCTCAGACTACTTTACAGCAAATAGCATATGTTCCAGCTAACACAAAATAAATAAATTGTGAACTTGGAAATATTCATCATGTAGACAAGGCTTTACTAAAATATATGTACCTGGAAAATATTCCTTTTGTAATAGGGGCACCTGACACAAACGGCCTCAGCTATAGAGGCTAATCAACACAAGCAGCATTTTCAGAAGGAGGTCTCCCTACCTGTCAATGAGGAAACAGTCTGGTTCTGACCCCAGCTGCAAGCAAGCAAAAAGCCTTTGTGGTGTGTCTTAGTACAAAGAAGACTAACATGATGCAGAGGCAGCTCAGAATGATGACAAACGATTCCCCATTCTAGGAGCACAGTCATTCTACATGACCAATACAAGTAAAAGCCACACAATCCAATGAGAACACAATATATTGTAATCACTTCTGGAGGCAGTAGGGAAATTTGAAAGCAAAACCCAAAATACATGCAGCAGGTGAGTACAGAATTTTGTAAAATACACTTGCAAGAGGATAGAACAAAGTTATTAAGTTATTGCCAACAAATGCAGTGATTCAGAATAAAGTAGCAGCATTGCTATTACATGTAAGCAGACCTGTTGATAAGCTAAGGATTCCAGTCTGTTTTTCAAAAGATAAGATACCGAGTCACAATTAAGAACAGAGAAGTATACTGAACAGGGTAGATTTTAGAATTCAAGTCATACATGTGTCATTGTTCAAACAGTTAAGTTCAACTACATATTAAAAGTGAGAATGATTGCCGTGTAGCTTAAAGAACTCCCCACACAACTAAGATTGAATAGAGTATTGAATAAGGAGTGCAAAACTGGACACCAGGTCAGCAGAAAAAATGACCATTAAAGATAAAGGGTCTGACTCTCACAGCATTAAAAGTCAATATTTAAAATATCACTTGGCTTCAACAAAAAAGGGATCTGACTAAGTGAGACTAAGGCCATGTCTTCACTCAGCGGAAGATTGATGCTGCTGCGATTGATCTTCCAGAGCTCGATTTAGCAGGTCTAGTTAAGACTCACTAAATCAAACTCAGAGGGCACTCCGGCAGCGGCCAGTATTCTTGCTCCTCCAAGGAGTAAGGGAAGCTGATGAGAGTGTTTGCTCACATCAGCCTCCTGCTGCGGGAACGTCGGGGAAATTTGAATCAAGATAAGCCGACTCCAGCAATGTAATTAATGTAGCTGGAGCTGCGTATCTTGATTCAACTTCCCTTTCAGTGTAGACCTGGCCTTAGACTATGTCTACACGAGCACTTTTGTCAGGAAAACTTTTGTTGGTCAATGGTGTGGAAACCCCCCCCCCCCACACACTGACTGATGTAAGTTTTACAGACAAAAGAATTGGTGTGGACAGCTCTATGTTGGTGGGAGATACTCTCTAACTCAGGGGTGGCCAACCAACTAGAGACTAAGAGCCAAAATAGCTGTGGATAGAGTTAAGAGAGCCACGTATTATATATTTATTTTTATATATCTATCTAGATAGCTCCCCACCCCGCCCTAACCCAATGCCCTTCCCCAAAGCCAGGCACTCCCAGCCTCCCTACTCTAACCCAATGCACCCACCCCTCCCCTAGAGCCAGGCACCCCAACCCCCCCCTCCAACCCAATG